CCTCTATTTTGCAAACGGCGTTGCACTCTCCAAAGACGAAGATTTTCTTATTGTTTGTGAAACAATGAGGTAACACATTCAAGCCATCATTGCCACTGCCAGAATTTCTAAATATGTCGTCATGTTTGACCTTCGTCTTTAGATTCAGGTGCCTGAAATATTGGTTGAAAGGTGAGAGTAAAGGAAAGACGAGATTTTCATCAAAAACCTTCTAGGAGGACCCGATAACATCAACTTAGCTCCGGATGGTTCCTTCTGGATTGCCCTACTTCAGGTACTCAAAAACAACAATATCTAAAAGTTCAACAACCATTGCAATGGATTATACTGAATTTTTGGTGCAGTTGGTTCCTGAGGAGACGGAGCTGGTGCACACCTCCAGGGCACTGAAACGGGTTATATTGAATTTCCCTAAACTGATAGAACTTGTTGTGGGTGGAGAGAAGAGAAAGGCAAAAGTGATCAATGTGGCGGCCGATTGCGACATGCTCAAGAGGTTTGATGATCCTAATGGAACCGTTATAACGTTTGTGACATCTGCAGTAGAGTTCGAGGACCATCTTTACCTCGGCAGTCTCAACACCAACTTTGTAGGAAATTTGCCACTCAAATGAATTCCCAGTGGGATGCCAAGGGCCAGGAGGGAGAAACAGATATGGGGAGTGATTGCATATATATAGATGCATATGGCTAATAAAATCTCCAAAAGAATGATTCACATTGACTCCTTTTTTGGTTCTGATGAGTGATCCAATTATTATGAAATTCAAATTCCAGAAATAACATGAACTTTAATTCAAGCAGAGTATTAGGAGACAATATAAAGTTTAAAACTACGAACCCTTTTTTCTATTATCTCCCAAACTAAAGCATAATGATCAACTAAAGCACGATTTAGTCCATGCTTACTAGTCACGCTCACTAATTGCTGTCAAATGTTCATCGATTTCCTCGGTTGACAACACTTGGAAAACTGGATTATCAGCTTTCACCACTCCCACCTGCCAAGAATCAAAGGATTATTGTCAACCACAGTTCAAAAAGAGGGTAAACAAGAATAATTTCAGTTTCCACAATGAATGCGGTTATACGTATGTAATTATATTAGAGAAACAACCGCAATTGGATTAGAGTGAGAGAATACACGAAGGATATATAATCCATTCACACATTTAGATAGTTGCAGACTCAACATAGCGATAAAATCACTAAAAACAAAGATGATCGGCTGACTCGTTATACCTCTATCTCGGTAGCCTTGAAATCCTCTTGAAGAACAGATTGCAGAGCCGAAATAGCAGTCTGTACGATAGTAGGAATAGAAAACATTAGACAAATGCGATAGTGTTAGCAAATGTAACCTGTGGCTTTAACAACTTCCTTTACCATACATAAAGGATAAAATAACATACCTGCACTGTTTCCATAAGTAAAGGCAGGGCATTCTTCATCTTCTTTTCCAAGAAATTAATTGCCTGTTTTTCGATCCAGCACTGGTTTGAAATCCTCTTGAAGAACAGATTGCAGAGCCGAAATAGCAGTCTGTACGATAGTAGGAATAGAAAACATTAGACAAATGCGATAGTGTTAGCAAATGTTAAACCTGTGGCCTTTAACAACTTCCTTTACCATACATAAAGGATAAAATAACATACCTGCACTGTTTCCTCATAAGTAAAGGCAGGGTCATTCTTCATCTTCTTTTCCAAGAAATTAATTGCCTCTTGTTCTTTCGATCCAGCACTGGTTGCCTGCAGAACATCAGTCAAAAATACAATCTAAATGCACAATGTAAACCCTAAACCAACTGAAATTTAACCAAATTATGTGGTCGCCTCTTGTACTACACTCTCAACAAAAACAAAACTCCCATATAGAATATAGTCAAAGAGACCTAGTAGAGAAAAACAGTTATGAATCATAACCATAGTAATAATATATGGCTTCTGGAACCAGGCATTTTGAACCAAAATCAAGAATCCAATCATGATGAGCAATAAAATCAACTTGCAAACTACCTTGTGACCATAAAAATGACCTGCTGGATCACACTTGTAGAGTTGGGGTCCCTTTTCTTCGTCAATACCCAAAACCATGGCAACTTCACATAAAAGGAAACAGAACACAGCAGAGTAAGTTACCTAGAACACACAATTAAACATAAGCATATATCTGCTTGCATGTGTATTAAGAACTCAAAAATTGCAAATCTCCCATGGAAACAATAAAGATAGAAAAAAAATTTAAAACAAAATTATAGTTGTAGGATGTTGAAGAAATCATAGATTTACCAACTCCAAGAGGTCTCATATAAGCATGTTGAGTATAAACCTGTGATTTGTCTGCAATCCTATACCAATAGAGCATGAGAGGCTAAACTAGGTTAGGTGTATGATCATCAAAATGCACAAGAACCATAAACATCAAAGATAGATAAATTTTCAAAAAAGGAATTCAAGATAACAGTTAAAATGTGGTTGGTCGTGTGTATTAATTTTTGGAACCAAGACTATACCCATGAGCCAGTAAATAAGGATGATAATGCCGCTTCAACTTTGATGTTAAAACGAGCAGGGTCTTAATATATATTTTTCAAATATCTACTAGCTGAAGTAAAAGCCCATAAATTTATATCCAGTGTGTATCCAAATGACTGGTCTCTTGAAGTCATTAAGCTTGATCAAACATTATCTAGATGAGATGTACAGAAAATACAAAAGCCAAATTTTTTAAAACAACTAAATATTGTCAAGTTCAAGAGAATATGATACAAGGAACAATACCATTTGGATAATACATCCACAGGCATCTCATATCCATATCTGAACCGAAACTCAGCTGCTTCATTCCTTGCTTGTTGGACCAAGGTCCTTGCATCAGCTGAAGAGTGGAAATGCCAATTATCATCAATGTGAAAAGTGATATATCATTATAGCCCAAAATCCCTAACATCCCCAAAACCCTGATTCACTAGTCAACAAAACAATTATTCAAAAAAAAAAAAAAACTAGTCAACAAAACAAAGATATTGGCAATTCGAACAAATAATATCTAAGAAAATATTTTAACAAAAAAAAATGGTATTTAGCAAAAAATAAACCTGTCATGCCAGTAGCCAATAATCCAAGGAACTTGGTAATAGGGAAAAGATGAGTGACACTAGCCTGATCCAATAGCTTGTCCTGCATATCATTATTCAAAATTAAATACCCAAATCGAAGAAAACCCTTAAAATCACTTTAATCCCAAAAATAAAGAAGTAAAGGAAATGTAAATGGGAGAGTACGGACGGGAACTTTCTTCTGGGTAACAACACAGACAGAATCTTTTCCTCGAACACCAATGGATGTGATCCCAGCTGCTTTCACTGCCTTAAACGCATACTCTGCTCAATTTATTCCAAAATCAAAATTTTGAAACAAGTAATAATAATAATAATAAAGTTCTTCCAGAATAATGAAGTTAATACACATACCGACTTGGAAAAGACGACCTTCGGGAGAGAAGATTGTGATATGGCGATCGTAGCCGCCTCCACTTCCTCGGCTCATCTTTTTTTTTCCCCTTCTTTTTTTGGGGATTCTAATTCAGCGAATTGATAAGCAAAGAGAAAGCTGTTTTCTCCTACAGATTTATGACTCTTTTTCAAGTAAACTCGCTGAAGAAGAAAAATTGCCTACTTCCAACAATGCCCTTCTTTTTTTTTTTTTCGATTTTCTTTTCTCCCTTCGAGAAATTCGAATTTTGACTTGTCTTCGATTTTGATTTAATTTTCATAAATTTCGATTTTTGGTAGGACAAATATATATTTGATTAAAGTGTATTTCCATTTCATAACGTTAATTATTTTATTTGAATGACATTTTAAATAGGTAAATGTCAATAAGATGTAAGTTTTAATTCTAACGTTAATAAATACTCAATCAACATCCCAATCATTCTCAGACATTTGCTTTTAGAGTTTGGAAAATAGTTGATAAACTTTAGATACGACCTAAGATTAAGATCTTTGTTTGAAGAGTGACACATGGTGGGTTGCCAATTGGTAAGCGTTTACATGATGTTGGCTTAAGTGACGGTCTCTGTCCAATGTGCCGCTTGATGGTAATTCATATTTTGCGGGATTACTTTAGAACCTCTAGAACGGGAGGAATTCCAAAGTGAATTATAACAAAATTCAACCTCCATGGATATTGACCATCAATGCTGCCTCCCTTTAGCACGACTACCTATTGACCAGGAAGCAAGCATCAGGGAGAGCGAGGATTTTGCGATCTTCTACAGGAGCAGCTTCGTGTATTACTCGGGCGAACTGACAACCTCCACCTCCAAGTTACATGAAGATCAATATGGATGGTGCTTTTAAGTCTATTGGACGTATATCGGTTGCGGGGTTATTGCCCGAGATGTCGTTGGCCAAGTACTTGACGGCATGGTTGCATCATCACCAAGTTGTGTCGAAGCTGGGCTTTCGGAGATTCATGCCATGAATGCGACATTTTTTTTGGCAAGTGAGAATCGATGGAAGCATGTAATCTTTGAATCAGAATCAACGCTTGTAGTCAATAAGATGTCTCGATCGAAAGAAGACTTGTCCACGTTGGGTTATCATCGTCGGGAAGCTCGTAGAATTTTGGATGCTAATTTAAATTACAAAGCTCGTAGGATTTTGAAAGCTAATTTAAATTACAAAGTGTGTTTTATTCTTAGAGCTTATAATATTGTGGCACATAATTTGGCCAAGTGAGCTCTCCATTCTAGAAATACCTTGTGTTTTGACTCAATTTGTCCCGATATTATTATGTGTGTTGTATCCAATGGTTTTTATTCTAGTAATACAAGGCTCCAGAGCACTCTTTCCTCCTTATAGGTTCTAGATAGGAATTTTAATGAGGTCCCTTTTTCTTAAATAACGAGTTCTCTTTTTTCTTTTTTAAAAAATGAATACTCAATGAACAAATATTTAAATGAAATTTTATTCTAATCGAGTCATTTTGCACTCCCAAGCTGATATTTGAGGTTACATTATCCATTTGAAGGGTGTCAATTTAAACCCCACAACATTAAAATACAACCTTCAAATATGTTGGGAAAACTAACATTTTATTCAAGTGTTGAACAGTATAGCTAAAGATGCAACTTCACACCGTAGATTTGCCCGTCGCATTCTCTATGAAACCCTTGATGTCAAAACCATCCTTCATTTCATTCTTTGTAATCACACCCTGCTTAATATTAACAATTAATCGTCAGAATGTAACAACAAATGCGAAATGAAATAGTAGTAATTTCAAAAACAGAGAGAGGAAGAGAAGGCGAGACCTTTTCCGTTATGATACCGGCTATTAGATTGGCGGGGGTGACATCGAAAGCCGGGTTCCAGACTGAGATCCCGGAAGCAGCCACTTGCTCACCCAGTCCTCCCCTTGAGTGCAATAACTCCTTTGCCGATCTTTCCTCGATAACGATTTCATTCCCAGAAGGAAGCGACAAATCAATGGAAGTAACCGGTGCCGCAACGTAAAATGGAATACCATGATACATTGCACATAAAGCAAGGCTATATGTTCCAATCTTGTTAGCAGTGTCGCCTGCAATTCGATTCAATGTGTTTCGGTTATATTTACTTCATCACAGAATCAAAGTGAAATGCATCATTAACAGCCATGGAGTACCATTTGCAGCCACACGGTCCGCTCCAACAATAACCGCACTGACACGACCCTCTTTCATTAAAGCAGCTGCAGCGGAGTCTGCTATTAGTGTAGCAGGTATCTTTTCATGCACCAGCTCGAAAGCCGTGAGTCTGGATCCCTACAGTCCGGGCCGAATATATGAGAAATGACAGCTTCAAGTAAAGGGAGTTCAAAGTATTATCAGGAAGCTCAGTGCCATATTCAGGTTTAAAAAAAGCATGATCTTAATCACAAATTTATTCATCATATGAAAAATAAGAAAAGGTATTTCAGCACGTTAACGAACTTAGGACATTTTTCGCACTAGTTCAGTTAATTGCAGCATACATGCCCTTATGCTGGTTAGTATGGACATATTTGAGGCAGTTTCCATTACATTCCCAGTAAGGTTCGATAACAAAACACTTCTTTCAAAGCAGAATCCATTCATTCTGATCCCAATGCGAAACAACTTTTTTAAAAATAGTCACCTGGTTGAAGGGCCGAGTTTCGGTACAATATGCCCTTTCTAACACTCCTTCAGCATGAAGTGCGCGGATTACACCTAGAGCAGTACCATATCCAGCTGTGGCAAGACTGCAAGACAAAGTAAATCACGGTTAGAAAACCATCATATGGCAATTTAGTGTCCATGTATATGAGTTCCAATGGCTTCTTGCCAATATTACCATTAGACATCAGTACAACAAAATGAACAGCAGGGAGAAGACTAACAAACCTTCCAGTGTTGCAGTGGGTCAAAACTGAAAATCCCTTCGAATTATTTCGTTGCTGCCGGAGAAAACTCGCGCCATGAGTCCCAATTGCTTTGTTTGTAGCAACATCGTCAAGAAGCATAATCTCAGCAGCTTCTATGTAAGCCTATAAAGATCGAGAAAAGTTAAATATATAGCAAGAACAAAATAAACCATTCTTAAAAATCCAGAAACAAATCCAAATTGATACAAGTCAATAAACATGAAAACTGACCAGGAAAACACTCTCAGGCACTGTTGCGGTAGAAGTAGCCTTTGATATAGTTTCTTTAAGCTTTATAGCAGCATCGGAAAGATTCACCGCCGTAGGTCGGCTGGAAAAAGGACATAAATGACGATAAAGTATCAGCTATACTTCGAAAACAGAAGGTGCAACTAATTTCAGTCTATAAAAACAGGCAAAAATATCTTGCTCTTAACACATTTTTCAAACTTAGTACGAAGATTCGACACTCAGAGTATCAAATACATGAAAAAATATTTTAAAAATCAAACATATACATGTCAACATGTGCACATATGATCATATGCAATACATATTTGAAAAGTGAACATATTCAACATCATACTTGAATCGTAGTAACATAACCAAAAAAAATACAGTGATCTGCACTTTTGCATATAGGAAGTGACTTGAAATCTAACCAAGACCAGAGATAATAAAGGTAAAATATAAACCTTGAGACAAGATATTCTAATTTGGTTTCAAGGAAAGACGCAGCATCCTTAGATGTCCCATTAAAGTCCTTTAAGTTGGCAACTTCAACCGCCAGTGAAAGGGCAGCCGCTATGGCAATAGCAGGTGCCCCTCGAACCACCATATCTCGGATTGCGTTCCTAAAAGCCATCAATTAGTTTATTCAAGTTGAGATCTTCAAACCCAATGAAATTCAAAAAGGAAGAACTGAACTACTCCATTACCATCCATCAATCGAACCTTGAATATCTAAGTACACGGTTTCCAAAGGAAGTTTTCTCTGTTCAAGTTCAACAACCCATAACAGTTAAGTAAATAAAAAAGAAACCCTAAACCCAGTCCATAAAGCTCCTTATAATAAGGTATCGAAATTCGAAACAATCAAAGTGAAAGATCTCCATCAAAAGAAAAATACGAAATAAAAAAATAGACCTGATCAAGCAACTGAAGGGAACCACGTTTGTAGCAGATAGCTTGGAGAGTGTTGTCGACTGCGATTCCGTCAATCGACTTAGAGTCGGGCGCCATAGATTGAAAATTTCCTGAAACGGGAATATTCGATGAATTCTGGGGATTATGAAATGAACGGAATGAAGATGCCTTTTAAGCTTTTTAATGCTACTTGTGTTTTTTGTTACTGGCGGCTTCTCTACGGCCTCGAGATTCGTACAATTGGATTTTGGTCCCTACTTTATATATTTTTTTCATTAAAGCTCCTGGCTTTGTGACTCTTTCTATTGTGATCCTTTTTCAGTTAAATTTATATCATTTAAGAATTTATGAAAAAGGTCAACAATTTTTTTTGTTGCCCTCCAATTTCAAGGCTTTGCCCTGACTAATCTGGAACGACCAAAGTACTTAAGAGATATCAAGATACTTACCACTTGAACCAACTCCGTTAGTAAAGGTCAACAATTGTTTTTAATTAATTACTGGAAATCGATCTATTGACCGACTAATCCAGATCGGGTACTGCAGAGGCGAGGGCAACCCTCCCAACCTAGTTTGCTTCATTCGCAAACTCCAAGATTCGAATTCCTGACTTTGCTTAAGGGATCTAGTGTCTCGTCCCACTAGACCAACATGTTGTTGGTAAAGTTCTAACAATTTTTTTAATGTTAATTATCTCATCAAAAAACATATATTAAATTGTAGCAAATTTAAAACTAATACTCTTAAATTGATTATATTACGTTTTAGTGTTCATGCTACAAGAGAAAATTATCATTAAATTCAATTGCTGGATAACTTAAATTACAAATTGTTTCCTGAAACATGAAATGGCTGAAGTTTTACTTGAACTTGCGATGCCATGGTATTTTCATGATTACTATCAAAGAGACTTGTTCTTTATTGATCTTTTCCCTGGACTGACAGAGTGACAGGGGATGAATGTCTCAAATTTTCATATTCTCAAATATTCTAGATATTTTCTGTATTTTTTTGGTTAATAATCAATTTCACCCCTTAAATTTTATAAATTCTAACATAAAATTCTTACTTATATCTATGTAGCATTTGTTAGGCATGATAGGTTCTGTTATTTGGTCTTATATCGTTCTCATCCTTCTTGGACTTCAGAAAGGAAGTCGTATTTGATGTTGATACAAGTGACATCATGCAAGTATGAGAGTACCAATAATGCAATATCTGTAGCCCTTTCTTATCGGAGTCCAGAAAACTCATTTAATATAGGGTAAACAACGAGTTTAATATTTAAATTATGGGTAAAGTGTAGTAATGGTCACTAAACTTTTTTAAAGCTTTTATTTAGGTCCTCTAACTTTTAAAACTTGCAATACAATCCTCCAACATTTAGGACATTTGCAATATGGTCCCTGACCGTTACACTATCGTTAGTACGTTTGCAATATGGTCACTGAACTTTTTAGGCGCTTGCATTTAGGTCCCCAACTTTTAAAACTTACAACATAATCCTTAATTTTATTCTAAACCCCAAATTCTTTTTAAATCTCGAATTTCCTTTTTTGCTTCTATCTTCTCATTTCCAGCGTAACTTTTCAACTGGGGATGCATGAGAAATTCTAATCTAACTTTGAATTATGTGGAGGTGTTGACTTGAATAAGGGTCCATTGAGAGAGGACTCGATCAAGGGACTATTGGGACCATCAACGATTCAATGTGTAATGTTAGATACAAGTCATCTCAAGGGAAGCATAGATGTTCGATGAAATGCTTGTGAGAAAAAAATGGGGTTAAAAATTGTTGAACTATGTTTTGATATAACAATTTAAGGCAAAATAGCTTTTGGACTTGAATTGAATTTACAAAATGTTTTTGGACTTAATTGAATTTATTCAAAGTTTTAAAAGGTTTCAAAAATAATTCAAAGTCCATTAAATTCGGATTTGAGCCAAAATGCTAAAGGGTGTCAAAGTGCATCCATGCACCCCTGCAGTGCATCCATGCATCCCTGCAGTGCATCAATGCACCTGCACTAGTGCATCGATGCACATGCAGTGCATCCATGCACTCAAACACCGAATGCAATTAGTGCATCGATGCATCCTTTTGTGCATCGATGCATCAAGGCTGTGCATCCATGCACGAAGGCTATAACAGCTAGTTTATTTGAATTTAATGAAGGGGTATCGATGCACCATGATAGTGCACCGATGCACCATGTTATGGGCAGTCTTTTTGAGTAGAAAAATCATCCCCAAACGGCTCCAAAACATCCCCAACGGCTATATACAACATCAAACACATTCCAAGCTATAAATACAAGCTAAGGACACTTGAAGAATAAAGAGAACAACTATCCAAGCAATCAAACACAATAGAAGAGTTTTTCATTCTTATTTCATCTTTCTCTTGTAAATATTTTGTTCTTGTGAGCTCAATCTTGTAAACACCTACCTTAGAGAGGTTTTCTTGTTTACATCTTTTATCCTTTTGTAAAGGAGAAAGATTCTAGCTTATCCCATTTAAAAGCTAAGGAAAGGTTCTAGTTTTGCCCGGAAAAACTAGGGAGTTGTAAGGTTATCTCTTTGTCCTCAAAAGAAAGAACAAATTAGTGAATTTGTTGGAAAATCCTTGGTGAGGAGCTAAGGTAGTGGATGTAGACTTTGGTTGAGAAAGTCGAACCACTCTAAATCACTGTGCAATTTTCTATCTTTCAATCTCCTTACTCCCTAAACGCAAAACCGTTCCGACCCCTCTTTGCAAACAGTTTCAGTTGTCGATTCGAGGTTCTGAAAATCCCAATAATTGGCATCAGAGCCTAACTCGTTAAGAAGGTTTAACCACCTTGAGATGATCCTCGAAGAAGCTCTACCAATTCCCGACACAACCGAGAAGATGGCTTCCACCTCAGGCTCGTTCCACATGGAAGACTCCCTACCAACCGACAAACCTCCATACTTCAATGGAGTCAACTATCATCATTGGAAGAAATTAATGAAGGTATTCATCCAATCCAATGATATTGATGCATGGGAGATAATCAAGAACGACTACTCTTCTCCAAAGAAGAAGGAGAAGAAGATGAGTGACAAAGAACGGAAGAAATCTCAGCTTAATGCCAAGGCCATGCACATGTTATTTTATGCATTTGGTCCTGAAATCTATGAAGGGGTTTCTTCATGTTCAAGTGCCAAGGAGCTTTGGAATAAGCTTGAGGAAATCCATGGAAACAAGAAAGAAGAACCAATAAAGGTGGTGTCTCTAATGGCTCATGAAGAGCCCGAGGTATCTTCTAACTTAAATGAATTTAATTCATATACGTTTGATGAGTTACAAGATGCTTTTAATAGGTTATATTCGAAGTTTGAGACCATGAACGCCAAATATAAGAAAATGATTTCAAAATTTAAAATCGAAAACGATTTTTTTTAAAACAAAAATAGATTTTGAAAGCCAAAATGAAATTTTGAAAAAGGATTTAGAGCTTTCAAAAATAAAAATTGAAAGTTTTGAAAAAGAAAATTTTGATTTAAAAGTTAAGCTTGAATACTTAACAAAAGAAAAAGAAATCATTTTAAATAATTCATTTAGTTCAATAATGACAATATGCTTACATTGTCATTATCATGGTCACAAGGAACATACTTGTCATTTGAAGAAAGGAAAACGTTTTAAAATTAAACAAGTATGGATTCCGAAAGGAACAAGAGGCATTGAAACTAACGTTGAAGGATCCAAAGCAAATTGGATACCAAAATCGAAATAAATGTCTCTTGTAGGTGTGTGAGAGCAATGGTGATGAAAGTGATGATATTCAAGATGCTCTAGCCACACATGAAAAAGGAATGGGTAACCTCTAAGTTTAATGATTTAATTTTGGTTATTTGGTTGCTCATTTGATTTTAAGCATGCATGAGTTGTTATATTAAATGATTATGTTTTGTTTTAATCTCATGTATGTTGAAAACAATTGGTATGATGAACAATTTTAAATTTTTAATAATTTTTCAAAATTTTTAGTTCATCATAATAAAATTTTGGTCAAAATTGGTTTTAATGCAAATGATATCTCTCTAATAATTGATATCAATTTTTTTTTTAAAAACTTTGATTTTACAAATTTTAAATTTTTGACCTAAATTTGAATGTTTATGCATGTGGTTTAAATGAAAATGATATCTCTCTAACAATTGATATCAAAATTTTCAAAATGCATAACATTTTTGGAAAACTTTATGCATATGCACTTAATTTTAACAAATGGTATTGATATCAATTTTCAACAATTGGTATTGCATAAATTATTTTAGTCTTGGATATATTAAATTTCATGTGCTACTAACATATTTGTTATTCTTTCTAGAAATTCAATTTCCTTTTAAGTGTCAAGTTCTTAAAGCTAAATTTTGATTGGAATGCATTTATTGAGGGGGAGCTTTGATTTTTCAAATGATTTTTAAATGTCAAATTTATCACTTACTCTCCAAAGTTATTTTGAACTTCAAAGATCGAATTATTTTTGATATAACAAAAAGGAGGAGAAGTTTGGTTTAAAAAATTCAATTTCTAAATGAAAAAAGGGAGCTTAACATTGTCATATATTTTCCAACAATTGTTAACAATTGATATCTTTTTCATTAAACAATTTATTAAGGGGAGTTTTGCCAAAAACAATTTTTCAAATTTTTTGTTATATCAAAAAGGGGGAGATTGTTGAACTATGTTTTGATATAACAATTTAAGGCAAAATAACTTTTTGACTTGAATTGAATTTACAAAATGTTTTTGGAGTTAATTGAATTTATTCAAAGTTTTAAAAGGTTTCAAAAATAATTCAAAGTCCATTAAATTCAGATTTGAGCCAAAATGCTAAAGGGTGTCAAAGTGCATCCATGCATCCCTACAGTGCATCCATGCACATGCACTAGTGCATCGATGCACCATGCAATGCATCCATGCACTCAAACACCAAATGCAATTAGTGCATCGATGCATCCTTCTGTGCATAGATGCATCAAGGTTGTGCATCCATGCACGAAGGCTGCAACGGCTAGTTTATTTGAATTTAATGAAGGGGTATCGATGCACCATGATAGTGCACCGATGCACCATGTTATGGGCAGTCTTTTTGAGTAGAAAAATCATCCCCAAACGGCTCCAAA